ACCAGAAGAGTACGTGCTTGGGTATAAGCATTAAGATGTGGTTTTTGGGGTTCCGCAAGGAAAGAAAAACTGCTGAGAACAACATCGATCCTGAAAAAATCCTTTCTTTGTTGCTTCTGAGCATTAAACAAGCTTGTGGCGAAGAGACTCTGGTGGGTAGGAAGAGGGGAGGGAGGTGGGCGAGAAGCAGGCAATAATAGATTTTATTAGTCACATCGAGAGAAGCTGAGTATAATCGGCTTTTTCGGATTGCGTTGTAAGCTCATGGCACTTGCGGATACCGCTTACGTTCAAGCCGCCGAGTAAGCACGGCCTGCTCCTTGAGAGGCTCCTACTTTCCATACGTGCTGGAGGTTGTATCGAACCATAAGACCTTTTCGAAATCCATATGGAGAGATCGCGATCGCTGACAGCCACTCGCACGCCACTCCACACCATTGAACGCTCGTTGGTTGAGCGATTTATCACGTTTACCTGTCGCGTCGATTGTTCAAGCAATGCCAAAATACTAGACTTTTACAACATGCGCGCAAAGTTTATTGCACTTTGCGATGTTGCGGAGAATTTAAATTTTACAGTTACCGAATTCTTAGAGTTCGAATGTGAGATAGTTGATAATCCTTGCTGTCGAGAGCAGAAATTTGGAAGGTCACCAAAAACTTTATTATCAAATGCGTCAAAGCACTGAATCGGCAAGAAATTGATATAAGTGCTACAAAAGAACTCATGTGAAAGAAAGCAACTGTAATTGAGTTTGTGATGTCATTCCCAGTTCAAGAGAGAGAAGAATGCATTCAAAATTTCTTCTTCCAAGGTCCATACTGGAGTTACAATGTAATTTACGGGTTAGAGATTGCGCCGTGTAAACCAGAAGTCATAGATCTTTGAATGGACGGCTAGTTGCAGACTCAATACTCGTCTAATTTTGGCAGCAGTCAATTCAAAATCCGCCATAACAAAAGCTTTTAAAGGGTCAATTCAAAGAAAGACATTAATAACAAAAGTTCATCGACACTAGGATTTAAAATTTGTAAAATCGTTTCCGTCAGAGGCAGATACCTCCTCTAACCACAATGCCCTAGGTATGTCCAGCATATTCCATTCTTAAGCAGAAGAATCTGCTCCACAAACAATTTCCATTACTCTTCAGTTTTCATTGTGACTTGTTTGAATTTTACGCGTTCGAAATGAGGGGTTCTGTCGAAAATAATCAGCCAAACTGGCAGTTGACTCATTCTGAAGGAATCAATGAGTGAAGAACCTGTACTCAGCCCGCTATTGGTTCGTCCAAAAAATGTGGTGTCATTCTTTTTCTTCAAGTTTCGTCCTTCCGCTAAACTCGATGGTTGACCGATGTGTCATCGAATCTGATGTTGAGAAACAAGTGAATTTCAGAAGAAGCTGTGACAAAGAGATGCCTGCCTCACTCATTGTGTCGTCCTTTTTTTAGCGAAAGAAACCCTTTGAAGCAATGATCGTTCTCATCGACTGGGCACTTCATAACCTCGGCCTTCGCCGGCCCGGCCAGCGTTGAAGAAAAATTCAGTTCGATTAACCGCCATGGCTTAGCACTCAATCCTAAAAACGAATTTCGAGTCGTGCCCGCTTTTCAAAAATGTTTTTTGCATTGTGTGAGGGCACATGCATGGATTACAGAACAGATGGAGATGGAATATAGCCCATTTTGCTTGACGGCCATCCGAAGGCCAAAAGCGGGAGCTAACAAAGCTTAAGCGTTGTACCTTTGTGGCACAAGTTTTGGCAAAAATTTGCTCTTGCGGGTTTCACAGCTCCGGTGGTTACAAGCCATGGGTCATTTTGCAACATCCACAACACCGTTCAAATAGCCGATCAGGAAAAACAAAGCACAGTTCCGTGTTCCATGCCGGGGTTCTTATAAGCCACTCCGAAAAAGTAGGACAAGACCTGTAAAATCTCCCTCATGAATCAGTTGCAGTTTGAAAAACTTTCATTCTTTGGACCTTCCATTTCTACGTTTAAGCCCATTCTATTCACAACGAATGTGGAAGATGGAACAAATGTTTTTGTTGAGCAGAAAATTGTCTTTCGGGCGGTCTGTAAGATGATGGCAATGTGAAAAAGTAGAAGCTTGGTGAAAAAATTCCATTCGAAGGAAAACGACACTACAAACTAAAGTAAGAACACTGCAGTGGTGAGTTCCATATTGTCGAAAAGCTGATACGCGCCTCACACCTCATAATAAAAATGTGCCATTTATTACGAATCAATATTACGATTATTAAAACTTTAGAAAATTGGCTTGTAGTACTTACTGAGAATCACAACTTTCGCGACTCACTCGTATAGAAAAGTGATACACATATGTACATATCGTGAAAGGCCCAAGCATCCACTGTACCTCAGAATACGACATGCAGTTTCTCGTTGATGAGCCGAAGAGCGGTTTGTTATGTGGTGATGCGGACGAACGTGTCACAGGATTCCAAGTCACGTGTAAATGAATGGTCTTTGGAGTTCAAATACCTTCTTTTCAAAGCACTTTTTCAAACGGTTAGTGTCAGAGATGTCCAAGAATGGCAACTTGCCAACAGAGGTTACTCTAAGGAATTTCATTAAGGAGGCTTCTAAAACCGGCCCTCACAACAATCGCTGGAACCTTGCCGTGGAACACTGCGAGCGCCTTTCATGGAACCGCGGCTGTTAAATGCTTCGCCTGTCATTCCTCAAATCTTTTAGCTGATTAGGACAAACGTTACGACGTTGCGCAGTTCTGAGTCGTTCAATCACATATGTAGCTTGCATGAGCTCCAAACTAGGTTTAGTTTCGTTTCCAGTCTACAGATTTGTGAGAGCGCTCGCCACGGCTAACTCACAATTAGGTGTGTGCTGATATGTTTGCCGTTCAAACATCCAAAGAAACTGACCTTTTATTGGGTTTAGTTCGGCTTACTATCGCTCACCAGAAAATGTGCCGTTAGGCCGCGTTCATAGTTCGCGACTCGGGAGATTAGGATAGTAGGCGACAGGAGGATAGTAGTAGAGTAGGAGATTGCGCTGACAAGATTGGATACGTATCGATTGAAATCGCTGGAGAGTAGTAGATTGGGCGACTTCAAGCGAATAGATCAATACATATCTAATCTTGTCAGCGCACTATCCTAATCTACTACTATCCTAATCTCCCCTACTCTACTACTATCCTACTAGAAAAGTAGACACACATATCAATATCGTAATATCGCCGATCTACTTACACTTCAGAGAAATTCAATCGAATACATATCTAATCTTGTCAGCGCAATCTCCTACTCTACTACTATCCTAATCTACTACTATCCTAATCTCCCCGTCAATACATATGTTTTTCATTGTCGCGTACTATCCTAATCTCCGGAGTCGCGAACTATGAACGCGGCCTTATCGCTGATGAGGTAAGAAAGTCTGAGATACTGCCTGGTGCAAACAGGTTTCATCCTAGTAAGGAAAGAATAAAGAATAACAGGACAAATTGCTAGAATGACTGCGTTCGAGTTCATACTTCAGGCATGGCAGCATTGGGACTTGAACCTATGAGTAGCTAGTTTTCGAAAATTTCTAGATATAAAGTAGCGTGCAGATGTCAGCGGAGTCTTTAGGGCTCTCATAGACTAATTGCCGATTTTTCTTTTGTTCCCCATTGACTCGAGAGTCTTTCGTTTCCTAGACCACTGTTCGTACCTTTAAGAGGCCAATATCACCTTTCCATATCATTGAATCTTTTGACCATCAAAATTCAGCCATTTCAACGGAACAATCACGTATGGCAAGTAGCAATAAGCAACACTGACCAGACCTTGCAAAAACTCAGCTCAGAAATCAAAAAAAAACTACCAAGAGCTTTACAAAGCTTTATTTCGTTAACTTCTCCACACTGTTCATTCATAGAGCGCTCCTTCAGTCACTGGATCCCAATTCTCTATAGAAAGACTAGCGTCTCACCCATGTAAGCGTTCTGCGAACAACACTTCGGAATGCCATTTCCCAAGGGAAAGACCTTCATGAGTATTTAAAGAGGAGATTCTTACTGACAAAAACAACTCATTCGTTTGAATTGCACCATTACCCCAGTTGGATTACCAGTTTTCGAGTTGTTGAAACATTTGGCATTGTGAACATAATTCAGCCTTCAAACTGCTTTCACAATTTTTTTCGGCAGCGATTGTCGCCAGGAAATTGTCACTATGATTCGCTACGTAAAGACGCGCCGATTAAAGGTAAGGAATCAGATATTAATAAAAAGTCCACAGTAATCTTAGCAAAAACCTCATATCGGCGTCGAAGGTCTCTTTACCCGTCCTCTTATCGTTCTCGATTTCGTCACTTTCGCCGCCATCGCACTCGCACATTGTCTTCGTCCATGAGTCCGCTCAAAAAGTCGTCCCTATTGCCGACACCGGCTTCTGGGACGAATTGGAATTTATGCGCTGTTTCTTGACCTCTTACTCCTTTTTTTACGAGTCCGTTAGTTGAGTTGTGTCCATTCATGCATCTCGATCTGTCTTTGTTAGGCAGCTATTATACCCTAATGTGAACTGGACAGTTTTCTTGCAACCCTGCCACTCCTTTTTCATCTCCATCAGCTTGTTCTTCAACTTCGCCTTTCTACGCCCGCCCACTAGCGCTAGTTCGCTTGCCGATGTGGACCGTTGTGATTCTCAGTAAGTACTACAAGCCAACTTTTTTGAGTTTTAATGATTAGTCATAAACTAGTACATTTTTATTATACTTCATTTCTTCCATGTCTTTACAGCGCTAGTTCGTCTAATTGGAGCTGAAAATTGTGAAAAGAGAGATCGCAGAGAAGTCAGGGTGAGATCCACTTTTTTTTGGAAATTAGCATATCCAGCTTATACTGTTGCAAGAGATAATATAGTACAACATTTATGTCTTATTGTAGTGTAACGAAGATTACCAAAGCAAAAATGCAATAAAAACTATGGGTAATTTAATATGCTAAGCTCGAGAAGGAGTTTTTCAGCTGCCTATCTGGGAAGGAAATTAGGTGAAATGTTGAAAGGCTTTCATTCTTTACAATTAGAATGTTCATGGCAGCAGAGAAATTATTAGGTTGAGTCACAAGTAGTTGCTGATTTAATATCGATGTTTCAAATTCCACAGATGTTTTAGAGCCATCACTATCAAGAGCCATATTCACTTCATCGGTCTATAACTGCCCTCCATCTCCCCACAAGGGAGTGGACATCTCTTCCACAGAATTGCTCAGTCTTCGAGGCCAGAAAGAATAGGCGTCCCTTTCGAAATGTTCGCGAACATTGTAGTTTCTTCTTCATCAGGGCAGAAGCAGCAAGGGAAACGACCGGTGACTACAAGGGAGACCCAGGAAAGCTAGTTTCTGTGTGGCCTTCTGGCATTCGCTCAGTGGTTTTCACTGGTTGCTTCAGTGAAGCAATTTTATCAGATGCCCTCCGAGGAACATCAACAATGTCGGGTGGATTCATTTCCTCAACCTGTATCATTCTCCCAAGGATCGGACGGCACGAAGATGGTGCTCTAGGAGGACTGAAGGTCTTGCAATTTGACAGGTACTGGTACACGAAAAGTCTCCAATAAGCTTTTGGGTGCCTTCATTATTTGCGGTCAGTGCGAGTCCCACTTCCTCAATTACCAGTACCACTTTCGACAGATTCTCCCTCAGAATATGTCTAGTCCTCCAACTCTGCAATAATTCCGAAAGGCTTCTATCGCTGACTGCACCAGACGGAACTCTCAGAGTCGACAGTGAGGAACATCAGTTGTAACGGACACCATTATTGCTCCCTAGGGACGAGTATTCACGGTCGATTTTGCAATGCGTACTAATGCCGCCACAACCAGGGTAAACCATCCGTTGCGCATTTTGCAATAAGCGAACAGTATCTGGGTCTTGCGGGGAGGAGGTCATTCGGAAACATCTTCTAGGGCTGTCGGTGGTGTTGTGGGGGGTGGGGTATGTCGAAGCTCCCTCATTAACAGTTGATCCAGGTCACAATACAAACATTTTTTAAGGAAGAAGAACCAGCACTCACTAATGACTCAATCTAGAATTATGTTCATTATATAATAGTATAAAATCAAATCAAAATAATTCACATACTTCCTCGCATTAACAATTCTTTCATCACTTTCTTGATCGGAGGATTGTTTCTAGAACTCAGCAGAATTGTCCCCACCTTTTCTAACTCATTTATGAGAGTAGTTAAAGGAGTCGTTCTGCCGCCGTTCCACATTTGCCCTTGGACGGATACTGAACAACTGAGATGGCTCCCTTCCCCCGGGCCAACAGTAAGGGAAGGGAAGACCAAAACATTCAACTGGAATGAAATTCTTCAACAAATGTAATATGTATTGAGCTCAAAGATTTGCATGGTAGTCTGTCAGTGTTGAAATAACATTTTAGTAGACCATTTAGTTTACAAAAGTGAAACATTCACTTGAATATGATTTTATTGTGACTTTTGTATGATTTGATTATTAGGAGACTTTAATCACCCATAATTACATTACTCCAAAGCAAGGTACGTAGAAAGGTACGTAATTTCCGCTTCCGCCTTGTGCTGCCCGATAAAGCGGTAAAAATTCCCATGCACAAATTTCCATCCACAGCTCACCTTTAGACAAGTTCCCTCTGTGCCTATTACAGCGATGCAAGCCAAGCATCAGCTGCCTGAAAAACTGATGGAATCTACTTCACTATTTCTTGAGATATGTTATCTTCAACTTTACGAGGTGTCATTATGTAGGAGGCATTCGAAAGTGGCCTGCACTCGAAGGCACGTCCTGTGATTGATATTTGAGCAATCCCTATACATAGTTGAAAATGCAATCGTATCGTAACCGCAGGAATGAACTCCTTTTTTGACCTCTAACGCAAGGCAAAAGCGTCCATGTCCTTCCTTCCCACACACATCTCCGAATGTGTTTGCAGGTGTCTGCGCCCCGTTCGTCTCCGACGTTGTCTCATTTTCATATCTTTTCTTACACCTCACCGGTGTCCATTCCAGTGCCTTCTGGGCTATATGTTTTGCAGATTCTTTCTCTCAAAATTATGAGTTCTGAGATTCTGGAACGCGGTACATTAGTTTTCAAAACTAGGCTATGCCAGGATTTTTTTGCTATATGTCCACTTATTCTGAAAAAGTGTTCCAGAGGCCTGGGGGATCTGATGTAGGGCCAATTGGCAACGCTAGCACCATTCGTAATGCGGCTGCCAACCCTCTGATCGAAGCATTCTCACGCTAGGCAAGTCCTCCGTCTCCGGGCCAATTAGTTGAGTGATACCCCTCATTTATGACACTCGCTGCCTTTAAGTGCCGCTATGATCCTCGTTGGATCTAAAATGAGCGACGCATCACTAAAAATAAAATTTTTGTATCTGCTGTAACTGGAGACGAAGTGTAGGTCTAGCCCAACTTCCCACAACAGTAACAGAAGGGCGACGCTAGGCTCATGGTTAGGACAAAGCAGAGTGAACAGCTTGAGGATTCCGCGACTGATGGTTTCTCATTGGCGGGAATGGCTCGCATTCGATGACGCAGTAGGAAGATAGAAGACTGAATTAGGTTAAAATCTTGGAGTTGTTGTTTCTAGCGTCCCTCTTCTGCCCCTTTACGGCATTTTGCATGAATTTTGAGTCTGAGCTGTTGAGTGGCTGAGATGGATTACAAGACATTCTATCGACCAGAAGAGGTCGGATGTGGTCGCGGCCTTCGTTATAGGATTGAAATTTTGCGACTGATTTCGCCGCACACGTCGAACTACGGCATATGTACATAGTATGTCTTCATCTGCTATGGCGCATTCTCTATTACCGTAATTTTTGATTTCCTCCTGTGCCGACGCATGAATCAGCTCACATCAGGGCGGCCCAGAGACCGAAGGAAGAAGTGGGTGGAGGTTGGCGAGAAAGAAAATTTTAAATGTCATTGGTGAACGGCACGTAACCCGAAATCGTTGCTTTCATAAACCTCTTTCGAAGCAGTCTAGGGATCGGAAAAAGCGGACGATGATTGACAAAGGAAGGAAGGTCAGAACCCATAAGTGGGTGGAGGATGGCAACAAAGTGATCGGAGCTTAAATCCGAAATGCGAGTATGTCCCCGGGATAGCGCGGAGACGGAGAAGAAAATGGATGGAATCTTACTCAGAAGGGTAACTCAATTATTCGTCTTGAACCGGGCTGAATTCGAGAATTTCCCCTGCACCGTTCTATATCGCTGCTAAACTGTGTTGTGCGCGCACATGGTGCAGCGCAAGCTGCATACAAATGTCTAACTTGAATGTTCTTCCGAGAGAGCAACTCTCAGCTCACTCCCGGCCAAAGAGAGGGTGCAGCACGCTTCGCTACTCCTTGAAACTTATTCAATAATTTGCAGCACTGAGGTAAAAGCAATTATTTTCTTGGTGCACCAACTCGAAAGCTTCAGTAGGAAATAATCTGTGTTTTCGCGGAAAAAAAATCAACAGGTTTCACAACCTGTTACTTCAGCTCTTCGAGACCACAGTTTTTCAAATGCTCTGCGGAACCCGTTTTTCTGCTGTTTATGTACATTCGAAACAAATCAATCAATGGGAACCAAATGCACTGCGTTTCGATTTCCACCATTCGGTGATCATGGATACTCAGTGCGACATGCGCTTATAGGTTGTTTTCCTCTAACACGTGCGACACACAGTAGTGCTCAAATGTCCCGCTGAAATACCAACTTTTGTCTCTCACGAACCATTTTCTTCGGTTTTCGGTTCGCATGTGATATTTGTATGGCGTGCTCGTTATTTGTCCACGCAAGGATTTGATTCACAATCTTTCACAAAGCTAAACGCAAGCAGACAGCGTCAATTGCAGAGCAGCAGAGATTTGCGAAAAACCATTATTCTGATTGTAGTTTCAAATCAGGATGATCAAATCAATCAGTCCTTGAATAATAGCCAGTGCACTGGGTTCCACTTATCCTTTAGTTGAGCAAACCTCTTGTTGCTGTTTAGCCTTAGATTGCCCGAATAACATCTCTAAAGCTCTAAAGATCCTCTATTGCCACACCTATCTTACCGCCATTACGATGACGCTCATCAACGTGTGTCGGTATTTCTGTTCAGTTATTCAACGTCAGTTTACGTAGTTGGACAAGTTTCTTTCAGCAAGAAAGCCCCGCGAGCCATTACAGCTGCTCACCCATTTTCATTTGGTGGTTCTATGCATTTTAAGTGTACCTTCAGCTGCAGGACGTCGTATTCACTTGATTATATCTAAACACGGAGCATGCAGTTTCGAAGAGGATATTGCTCGAGTCAAGTCATGCAATGCGGTAGCGTGCGGAAGTTGCTCCAGCTCCTTTTGATTTATTGAGCCAATTTTCACTGTACTTTCCACAACTATTCCAGCGCCTCTTCACTGTTATGTAGAGTTTGTTCCATCCCTTTTATTCAACTCAAAAGCAGTATCGACTGCAATTATGAAAACAGACTCCCGCATAGGCATAGGAGTCTATGATATTGCTCAAACTGAAAGATCGCGATGCTCCTCCCCCTCGAAATGATATTGCTTGAATAGCGTTGAATAGTTTAAGCAACACCCCGGCAGAAGTACTGTCGAAGAATTCACCCTCTGTTTCGGAAAACGGGAAGAGCGTCGAGCGCAGACCACACATCTCAAGTGGCGATAGGCAAGAAAAAAGTGGCTTTTTCTTTTCTCTTATTTCAGCCGTCGTAACTTGTGGTGTGGTCTCCACTCCTCTTTTTCCGAATAAAGTGGGATAGAGTGGCCTACAAGTAGCACAGGCGTGCTGTTGTTACGGCTCGAAAGTCGCGACAATGGCGCTGGGATCTCACAAAGGCAGAAGACAGCGGCTAATTCAAATACGCGCGGGTTAGTTGAATCGTAGAGCAATCAATTTCCTACAACTCGTCTGGCCCCACGCTTTTCTTACTCCGAGGGGACTCATTGTTTTGAGCTTCATCATGGTTTTCTTTGCTTCTTTTTTTCATTTTTTATCAATTCGGCATCCGCAACTTCGTTAGCGACCGCTGTGCCAGATGTCTGCATGTTCATCGCTTCTACAAAAACAGCCGATAAAGTTACTCTTTTAGCAGCGCTCTATCTCTACTCTTTTAGCAGCGCTTTTAGTGTTTCATAATTAATAGTAAACCGGAACGAAAGCACGAAGAAAGAATAGAATATATAAAAAATGAAAAACAAAGATCAAATATGCAATAATCATGACTCTCAAGTATGGCCAGGCAACAGTTTCCATGAAAAACTTTCCAAGTATTACCGCACAGTAGGATGTGCTTGTTTCTGTCTATGTCTCAACAAATATTTATCGGAATCTTCTAAGCGCTACTCTGAGTGAAACGTTATTTTGTCGAACAACCGAGTGCCAGGTATCAATCCAGACATGAGCGCTCGCGGTACCTTTGCTTTACTGTTCTAAACATTAATTGTTTGTTAGTCCGAACAACCCCCTGAGCAGCAAGATTGGCAGGGGCTGGCAATTTTGCCGTTGAATCGTTATCACGCTTCAAGAATTGAAATCCAATTTAACCCTTTGACGACCGCCGTTGTGCGTGCATTGCTTCACTTCTTTTTAAATTTTTTCATCAATATCCATTAACTCTCCAACAATTTCACTATTAGTAATTAGCGCATTATTTTGCGAATTCGATAATGTATTTGGCAGCTTTGAAACATAAAAATGCCAAATAAATGACGAAAAACGAGTCGCCTCTAAGTGAAAGTGTGGCCCACCGGCGGGCCACACGGTCGTCAAAGGGTTAATATTGCGCTGAACCTGCGACGTTTTCAACAGGTTGGAACAGCTACTTTCGGGGAAACTTGACGTGAATCGTTCAAGGTTGAAGAGTTCAACACGTTCACACTCGTTAGTTTCTTACGGTCACCTTGAAAAGGCTTGCAAAAAAATAGCGTATTGGCTTTGGGGCAGGACATTGCAAAATGGTCCCAGGAATGTCAAAAGTGCTTTGTGCATAACCTATATAAGGTTAACACTCCTCCGCTGAAGCCAGTTGTAGTTTCCAGGCCGTTCGAAATAGTTGGTATTGACTTGCTCGAGATGGGCTTATCGAGTCGCGGGAAAGATACATAGTCACGATTATAGACCACTTTACAAAATTTCTCGGAGCTGCCCAGTGCCAAACAAAAGAGCAGAAATAGTCGCAGGAGTAATTATAGTGTTATTCTTCTGCCAACGAGGTTGTTAGGTGGTAACTTTATTAGTGGCCTGACGTTTCGACGAGATCGTCTTCCTCAAAGGCCTGAACATGGCTCAAGGTTTGAGATATGTCCTTTGAACCGCCAAACGCCGCTTCTCCCTAGCGTTTCTGACGGAGCGTTAAGGGAACAAGCGAAAATCCCCGAACGAGGAAAATAGACTCACCCAGTCCACCACCGCAAGAGTAGAACAACGACACTCCAAGTTAGTAATGATCATTATACTGAGCATTACTGTGCATAGAGGCAATACTTCGGAGCTGCACGTCTCAGTGTTTACATCAGTAGCTCGCAATGTGGCGCAAACGACAAGAAATCATTTAGGAGGATAGGCACTCATAGCGGTTATTCATTCTGGATTCCGCGCGTGAATCCAGAATGCCTCAAGCGCTTTCCTAGCGGAAATCTCAGTCTCGTATGCAAGGATTTTGCACTTAACATCAAAGTCATTCCGTGATGTCTCTTCACTAAATTCTTACCGGGCGGTGTTGTTACGTTGACCTTTACCTTAACGCGTATTCCCTCCCGGATTCCCCAATGTATGTTGCGTTACACACTGACATTCAGTCCGGTAGATCACGCCACTTTTGGCACAATCTCCAACTGCACCGTTCGGGCATGTAACGCAATGGTCTGATATACACTGCCTATCGTAGAGTCTATTCCGTACGAGTTGGCGTCTGATATTGTCGTTAGGAATGCTCACTAAGACAACATCATCGTCCAGCTGCGCACGAGCAAGACACCGTTGAATTGCCGTAGTTACTATAATCAGATGTGAATGGTATTCATAAAGGGACTTTGTTTTGGCGTGGTAGACTTCTTACCGTTCTGCAGCACCTGTGGCACTCGTTTGCAGCAGTTCTGAACATGTTCCTAACTACTGTGTTTTCCAAGGCACAAGGATGTGCAGATGTGATATGAATCAAGATGTTCTTGGAGCTTGCTTTCCCTGTACCACTTCACACTGAGCAATGCCACCAGATACATTCACCTGCGTGTTAAGGAAGGAAAGCCAACTAATGCATAAAACCTCTCTTGTGAGCCTGATGTAGTGCAACTGCTGATTCTTTAGTCAAAAACACTCCATCCATTTCGAAACTGTGTTGATTTTACAATGAAACAGTCATCTATGTATCTGCAGTACATCATTGGAAAGAGCTCCAGTACTGGTTCTTCAATTCTGCTCATAAAGCAGCATTGCAAGCACTTGATTGATTGCAGCAAGATTGCAACAGCAGTGGCAGGAGTTCTTTTCAGTCGATTTGCAGCGCAGGAAGATGGCCAGAAACAGTGCTATCAGATCGTGGGACTGATTCGAGAATTCTGTCGTTACCGATTTATGTGAAATAGTGGGCATCAAGCAACAATTTACAAAGGTTGCTGCCCAAGAAAAAAGGGTGAACGGGAACTATTATTCACGCATTTTGAAGAAGAAGTAGGTGCCAGCAGAACGGAATGTTATCCTCCCTACTGTCGTTTATGCGTACAACGCATGCCCGCATGAAGCAACTGGGGAGAGTCCCCATTTTCTTTCTATATGGGACAGGACCCCAAATGCCCATCACAATTCATACTTAGAGAGCACCTGTCAGTTTACATGGTGGACTATGACCACTTTGAAACTGAGTTATTATTAGGGTTAAAGCTTGCGCGTGAATGTGCTATTTCTGACTCAGAGGAATACCGGAAGAAGATGAAGGAGCAGTGCGACAAACGGTTCACAGGTTTGTTGGTCGGGTCCGTATAGAGTAATGGAGAGCAGCGCAGCAACTCATGACTCAAGTGACTTTGATAGGCCAAAACAAGGAACCAATAAGAGTGCAGTGGGATCATTTGATAAAATTACCACCCATGATTGACGATACTCCCCTTGGAACGAAAGGATTCCGCGGCCGACGTGGTCGAAGAAGCAAGTTGACGTCAAACCACTGCAACATGGTTCGCAATCAATTTATTTTCAGAGAGGCTTCGATCACTAAAATGAACCCGCTCCACGTTGATTTCATTTGTCCAGGAGGACTTTCAATCGATGGACAACGGCTTCCTTGTTCCACGAATATGACGTGGCATGAGATATCAGGAATGCGGAATTCCCCTTTCGACGGCATCATATTCGACTGTGTGTCTGAAGCTCGCTCGCGTAGCTACAATCATGTCGCAGACACACACACATCTTCGGAGATGCAAATGGCCCGTATATTGGACGCAATACGACGCATTATCGCCAAGTGGACTCGGATTCGCCATTTCGTTCTTCTCGGCGAAATGTCTGCACGTGATGCAGAGCATGCAGACGAGATACTCTACAGAACACCAGTTCTGCGTGACACCACTTCTGGCGATCCATATGATTTGCCGAGCCTTTTCCTATGCATGCAACTGGGCTCGTGCACATCCATGGAATGAAACTGTTGTTGGAAGAACTGTCCCCTAAGAAGACGTTGGTACTGTTGGTGCGATTTTTAAGAACACATATACTCAACTCGTCGCATTGTCAGTTAGTTAGAGTATACGTTGAACCGGATCATATGAAAGAAACATGGTGTCAGGCAAGCTTTCTGCTGTAGTATTGTTCAGTTCCTCCAAGCGTTCTCCACTGCAGCATGGGCTTGGGCGTGGCAGCTTATGCTGATTATGGTCTTGAACTTAGTAGTGCCAAAGTTCAATGGCTAAAAGGGTTGAGGGACATATGTGAGGATACGATTGCCCAACGTCCTAAACTGAGGGCACGAATCAAGTGTCTACTTATGACAAAAGCCGAAGAAAATTCTCCTCATCACCCCTGTAATGTCGTGGCGAACAATTCTGGATCACATCCGCACACATACTCGGCGAGCGAAGTGAAAATATTTTACGAGGCCACTCGCAACTTTTATATTGCTCACGTCAGGTTGACTCCATATTATAGCATACGGACCAAGGCTGAAAGTCAAACCAAGGATATCCGCCATACATGGAAACGTGATGGAAGTGAGGTGTCACATGTGAAACATGGAAAGCTACCACAATGGACTTATAAAAGGAAAAATCGCTTCAGACAGGCAAATCATCACTGCGTCAGCCATCGCTCCTTAACTTACGGACAGAGCTTCAAAAGTATAGACGCTACCGCAAATTTAACAAATTTTCTTGTGCCTTACGAGGTTGTTCGGTGGAACCTTTATTAATGGCCTAACGTTTCGACTGAATCGTCGTCTTCAGAGGCCTGAACGTGTTTCAAGCGTTAGACTTACGCTCTACACCACCAAGCGCCTCATCAACTCTAGCGGTTTCGACATCGTGTCAGAAACCCCTCGAGAAGATCAGGACAGCGCAAGAAATAAACTCACCGTCGGTTCCACCCTTCGAGCGGAAAAGTCCGCTGCCACACAGAGCGCTGATCAGTTAGAACTGAAGAATACCATACTGTCTCCTTATGTCAAAAATAGTCGGAGACGCACGTAACGCTCTGTCATTCTACAGCTCGCAGTGCGGAATGAACGGCAGTAGATCATTTGTTATTGAAGGACACTCATCGCGGCTGTTCATTCTTGGATTTCTAGTGAATATCCAGAATGCTTCTAATGCCTTCCGCGCGGAAATTTCCGTCTCTTGAGCCAGCAGCGTGCACCTTATTTCAAATTCATTCCCATTATGCTCCTCAACCTTATGTCTTCCCAAAGGTGTTGTCACAGTACCGCGTCTCAAATTAGCAAGATGTTCCTTGATACGAATTGCTAAAACCCTTCCTGTTTCCCCTATGTACGTAGCGTTACATGCCTGACATTTAATCTCATATATTGCTCCAAGATGAGCACAATGCATGAGTGATTTTGCTCT